AATTATCAAGTGTTAAATGTTAAAACCATTAAGTGTCAAAACACCTCACATATTATTTTAACTTCTAAGGAAAAAAACATAACTCTATTATAGAGGGATCAGACTGTCATCTCTGTAATCGAGTCTTAGCATCACTAACAACCAGATAATAGGTTTCTCTTGATGTGACATAAGATGAAATATGCAACATCATCTATGGTATATTCCAGCTAAAATATTTAATGTTAATCTATCAAGACTTTAGATCTAACTTTCCAACTACTAGAATTCGGTAGAGAGAGGAATAAACTAAAAGATACTACAAGATATTTTTTCAGATGAATGAGCCAAGGATATAAAAAAGGGAATGTTCCAAATTAAGAGACTTCAAGGACATAACAAGCAAGTGAGTGTTCCTGGACTGGATCCTGGTTGGGACAAATCAGCCGTAAAGGATATTATGTGACAATTAGTGAAATCTGCCTCTGGACTTGTGTGGTACATCCCCACAGATTCTTTACAGTCCCATCATCAAGAAGTGAAGTCTAGGGGCCCGCCCGCAGAGTGGTTGAGGTCGCATACTCTGCTTCTGGCGGCCCGCGGTTTGCAGGTTCAGATCCCAGGCGCGGACCTATGCACTGCTCATCTAGCCACGCTGTGGCAAGCGTCCCACATATAAAGTAGAGGAAGATGGGCACGGTTGTTAGCCCAGGGCCAATATTCCTCAGCAAAGAGGAGGACTGGCAACAGATGTTAGCTCAGGGCTAATCTTCCTCACACACACAAAAAAGAAGTGAAGTCTATTTCCCTACTCGTTGAAGCTGAGCTGGTCTTGTGTTGGAACTGAGGCTGTGTGAGCTCCAGAGCCTGGCCTCAGGAGGCCTTACAGCCTCTACCTTTGCCCTCTTGGTGGTTTCATGAGCTGTCCTGAGACTGCCACATTATGAAGCTGATCTACTGCACGGGACGATAGGGGGCCATGTGGAGGAGAAGTAAGGTGCCCCAGCCAACAGCCAGCACCAATTGCCAGACATGAGAGTGAAACTATCTTGGCCCTTCAAGCCCAGCCAACCCTCCAGCTGACCACCACATGAGGGGCCCAGGCTAAACCAGCAGAGATCTGCCAGGCCAACCCTCAGAATCATGAGAAAACAAACCACTGTTTCAACAGCTAAGTTTTAGAGTGGTTTCTTATGCAGCAATAAATAACCTGTACCACTGGGTATTAAATGAAATGAAAATTCACTAACCAGGAAAGGTACACACCAACTGAAAAAAAACTGGTTACAAATTATATGTACAGGACAACCTCATTTAATAAAACATACATGCATGCAAACACAGACAAAAAGATTTAGACGGATGTGTACTGAGTAATAACAAGGGGATATACAATGAGGTAAACTCTGGGTAGTGAAAATGTTTTCCTCTTCTTATTTTTGCTTTCCTATATCTTCTATATGCCTATATACGCTTTTGTAGTAATAAAATAGTTTTCAAAACATATCATGTTCTTAAAAAAGGTCTATAGTGTTTACCTATTCATCAGACAAAGAGGTCAGCTGGATCCCTGAAAAGCTCAACACGAAAATCTTGCTATTAACCTCTAATAGGTTAACAGTACACTAACAGTACACTAAAAGTACACTAACAGTACAAAAGTACACTAACAGTACACTAAAAGTACACTAACAGTATACAAAAGTACACTAACAGTACACAAAAGCTGGATAAAGTCCCTTTAGGGACAGTTAGGGCTGAATTGCGTCCCCTCAAAATTCATATATTGAATCCCGAGCCTCTAATACCTCAGAATGAGACTGTATTTGGAGACAGGGCCTTTAAAGAGGTGATTAAGGGGCTGGCCCAGTGGTGCAAGCGGTTAAGTGCGTGCGCTCCGCTGCGGCGGCCCGGGGTTCGCCGGTTCAGATCCCGGGCATGCACCGACACACTGCTTGGCAAGCCATGCTGTGGCGGCGTCCCATATAAAGTGGAGGAAGATGGGCACGGACGTCAGCCCAGTGCCAGTCTTCTTCAGCAAAAAAAAAAAAAAAAAAAAGAGGAGGATTGGCAGATGTTAGCACAGGGCTGATCTCCTCACCAAAAAAAAAAAAAAAAAAAAGGTGATTAAGGTATTAAAATGAGGCCATTAGAGTGGGTCCTAACCTGATCTGACTGGTGTCCTTATAAGAAGGGGAAATTTGAACACAAAAAGCAACACCAGGGGTGTGAATGCACAGAGGGATGACCATGGGAAAAGGCAGCAGGAGGGTGGCCATCTGCAAGCCAAGCAGAGAGGCCCAGAACAGGTCCTTTCCTGACGGCCCGCAGAGGAAACCAACCCTGCCAGCACCCTGATCTTGGACTTCCAGCTGCCAGAAACTGAGAGAAAATAAATTTCTGTTGTTTAAGCCACCCAGTCTGTGGTATTTTGTTATGGCAGCCCTAGCAGACTAAGATAGGAACTAAGAGCACAGCACAATATTTGGAAAACTAACCTAGTGTGCATTTTAAGCACAGCAAACAAATAACTGAACCATAAACAGTTTATAGTAAGCCTTGTTCTAGATTGCTGAAAAGCTTTTTGTCTTTAAACTCAAATAACAACTACAAAGATGCACAGAGAGAAATTATATTAAATATACACATGTGGAAAGGAGGTAGACGGCATGCTTTCTAAATGCACTGCCTCACTTATGATGAATAAATATGTTGTCTAGTCTACATTCTACTCTTGAGAGCTGGCAAAAGAAACGGGTTTTCTTGCTTCGTTTATTTATGGGCCACTGACAAAGAGCAAAAATAATGGAGAATCAACAACTAAAGAGCAACATTATCAAGAACTATTGCTTTTTAATGAAATACAAAATATTTCTTTCACTCATCTACTTTTTTTGTGTGTGTGAGGAAGATCAGCCCTGAGCGTTACGTCTGTTGCCAATCCTCCTCTTTTTGCTGAGGGAGGCAGGCCCTGGGCTAACATCCATGCCCATCTTCCTGTACTTTATATGGGATGCCGCCACAGCATGGCTTGATAAGCGGTGCGTAGGACCGCACCTGGGATCCAAACCCACGAACCCGGGGCCGCCGAAGCAGAGCACACGAACTTAACCACTACAACACCAGGCCGACTCCTCACTCATCTACTTTTAAATTTAAAACATTATTTACAAAAACTACACTATTTATAATAAACAATAAAGAAAAAGATTGAGTACAGTTATGGTAAGAGAACAGGAAAAAGAGAGAGGAGAGAGAAAGCTGTGGTGTGGTGGGACCAAGTCTGGCAGTTTGGGTTCTTACTGCTTCTGGTTCATACTAGCTGTACAATCTCAGGCAGGGCATCTCACCTTTATGAGCCAGTTTGTTGTGAAGGGAGAAGCTTGAACAAGATAATCATTTCTCAACCACTCTCTGTGGACTCCCTAAGGCTTCCTTAGAAATTCCGGTAGGGCGAGGAACAGAAATGAACTGGTAGGGCTTGGTGCCCTTAAGCTCAGATTCAAGTAGAGCTACTTATTTCTATTTGTTTTCCATTTGAATATTTGTGTTTCACTTGAGGGAACGGTTCTGGTGCTAAAAATGTTTGACACCATTGTATTAAAATGGTCTCTGCCCTACAACCTACTGGGTAAAAATACTGAAGGAATATGTATTTAAAAATCATTAAATAACATAGCTGAGCAGATACACACAGGAGACAAAATGAAGGCCCAAATGATATTGACTTGAGGAAACAACTGGCAGACAACATTAATGGGGACTCTGATGGGACAGGAGAGATTGTGGCCTATGTGAATAAAAGATTTAGGATTGTAGTTGACGGTAAGCATTGCGAAATGAGCCTGAAGTGTAACTTCATGACTCAAAAAGTGAATGCAATTCTAGGCATCATTAATAAAAGTATAATTTCCAAAACGAGAGCATTCAATAAAACTGCCAAATATATATTTTAAAAACCTGTTTGTACTACCAATAATCAAAGAATACAGGCAGCATTGTTTGGTAGACTGAAATGAGTCAGACCTGAGTTCCAACCTTCATTCTCAAGCTTATGCAAGATACGTAACTTCAGGAAATGCAGCTCGCTCCAGACCTTTGACGTAGCTATCGAGGGGACTCTGGCAGCGTCGTTGTAAGGGTTAGTGTTACTATGGATAATACCTAGCATAGTGCTGGCATACTGGAGGCACCCAAGAAATAGCCAGTGTTTACAGAGCACTACATGAAATTCTATCTCATCTAATCCTCAGAACAGTTCAATAACAGGGGATTATAATACACGAATGCAAAATATCCCAAGAATGGGACTAAGATGGTAACAGATGAAATAGTCGATGACGGCAGAGAGCAATACTAGAAGTATCGCATTTACTTCTAGTAGGAACAGAAAATGGTGCAACTTTTCTGCAAAGTAATCTGGCAATACGCACAGAGGACATTTCCAAAGTTCAAATGCAATGGTTCAACTCTACCTGGGAAAGGAAAGGTTTCAGAAAGTGCCTGTGGGTAGAAATGGGAGTGATCAGAGGGTTGACTGATTAGCGGGTATCTCCATTAATACGCAGGCTGATCACCAGAAAAGCATCTCTAGGAACAGAAGGTTTTTTCTTCTGTTTTATTTTTCCCAATTACTGATTCCCATAAATATCCCCTTGTCAGCCCCAAACTGTATGTTCCTGAGAACTGAAGCAGAAATTGTGGCCCACTTCACCATTCAGCGCCTCCTGTTTGAATGGAAGCACACCACCCAGGGAAGCGGCTATTCCTCATGACTCCAGTGTTAATCTTAAGGTTAACAAAGGAATGTGGGATAGACGTATATAAATTCCTTCCGGATGAGAGGTCCCAAATTCAGAGCAATTCATGATGTTCAAGGAAACATCACCACAAAGAGAAGAAATGAAGTATTTTGACTTCCACTCTTATAAGTCCAAAGTATGTTGCCCTTTGACTGCATTACAACACAAGAATCAAGGAAAAATGTTTTTGTCAAAAGTCTGACAACAATGAACACTTACCTAAAATGAGATGAAGTTTGGTTTCTGTCTGGAAAGCATAGTGCAATGTCACCAAAAATGGCGACTGCCTAATGTGTTCCAGGACTTGTCGCTCCGTCCTCGTGTGCTCTGTGGTTTTGGCCTTTTGAACTATTGTTGCCTTTTTCAAAACTTTCATGGCATACAGCTTTCCAGTATCATGACCACTTATTTTACGAACTAGAAATACTTTTCCATAAGCTGAAAATGAAAAGAAAAATAAAAAGAATTGAAATGCGACACAGGCAGAATGGTAATTTATTGGAAGTTGACAGCTACAATGCAAAAAAAAAAACACTCTTTGAATGAAAAAGTATCCTTAGTGCTGTTTCAAACAGTTCTTTGATAATTTTTTCAATTTTATGCTAAAAATATTTCTAGGTCTAACCCTCAATATTTACATATCTAACCACTGCTGACAAAATTATGCTTTCACTCTTTTACTATTATTCTCTCCTCAATATTTTTTTTTTTTTTTAAGATTTTTATTTATTTTATTTTTTCCCCCCAAAGCCCCAGTGGATAGTTGTATGTCGTAGCTGCACATCCTTCTAGTTGCTGTATGCGGGACTCGGCCTCAGGATGAACGGAGAAGTGGTGCCTCGATGCGCACCCCCGGGATCCGAACCCGGGCCACCAGCATCGCAGCGCGCGCACTTAACCACCAAGCCACAGGGCCGGCCCTCTCAATATTTTTAGCTGTAGGAAACTAGCTGTTATTATGGTCAATTAACCACAATCCAGTTCTGGAACAACTAGGACACTTTAGACATCAGATAAAACCTCTAAGTTTTGCTACTGATGTAAACAAATGAAAACAGTTCTTAACACTCTCATACACACATATAAATCAAGTACCTCAAGCACCCCTCTATACTTATTTAAAAAAAAGTCTAAAGCAACATAAGCTGACATTATATAAACAAAACAGACTTTCAGATCTAAAGACCCTAAATTGCAAGCAATACTGACAGAAGCCCCTTTATATCTCTGGACACTAACTCATGGCTTGGTAGGTCAACCTTGTCACATTTCCGTAAGTACAGGCTCAGTGGGCAAATCTTGTGAGTGGTGCCACTCCCCCACGTGGAGAACTGTGGCTGTATGGGCACTGTGCCTCTCGGGCAGAGCAGGCATCTGCATTTATTTCCTTAGAGAAGAGAGGAGAGGGCAGGAAGAGGTGGGAGGAAGAGGCGGAGGAAGGGCAGGCAAAAACACTGCCAGAGGGAAGAGGTGCGTCCCCAGTTCATCCCTACAAGGTATAAATTCTCTTCCCTGTTAAAAAGCACACACCTCCCGGGATGGTTAAGCTCAGTCCCACGTTCCAAGTTAATCACTTGGATCAGACCACTCTGGAGTTAGTCTGAGTTCTGACCCAGACCAGTGCTTCCACACACTCTGCCCACACCTCTACAGCACTTGGCACAGAATTCTGTTCTAATGCACCCACCGAAATAAGAGAGCTTTAAGGGAAGGCCTCTTGTACCCTGTACGTCATTCAGTTCAATACTTCGGGAAGTAAATTAGTACTGACACACGATATACAGCAGGTCAGCGACTGACTGTAATATCCCTGAGGAGGCGAAGAACCAACACTTATTAAGGACTCGTCTATGCCAGGCTCTGTGCTAAACATATTCCACATATTGATTCACTTAATCCTTACAACAGCCAATAAGGTCAGCACTTTTAGTAATTTCCTTTTGTAGATGAGGAAATAGGTTCAGAATACTTGAGGAACTGGCCAAAAGACGTGGGTAAGAAGTGGCATAACTGATTCAAATGCAAGCAGTGTGACTCCAGGAACCACACTCTTAATCATAAATGAATTAAAAAAAAATGATTCTTCACAAATACCAGAAATCAGATGTTCTGGATTTTAATAAAATCAGCACCATAAACATACTGAACACATTCTGGAAGACAGAAAAAGTTCACAAAAAGTTTGTGTCTTATCTCATTGTAAATAAAATAATTATAGATTGAGATTTTATTAAGATTTTTTAGGGAACCAAAAAAGAAAATAACTTTTAGATCCTAACAAATTAACCTAAAGTATAAAAATGAAAAAGTTCATCTATTCAGAAGCATTGAAATGAAGCCAGACAATATTCTAATGACGTGTACTATATCTTCCACAGAGTAAGTCACTATACAAACTCAGGAGAAAGTAAAGTTCTCTACAAGTATGGGGCTTTTGTGTTCCCTGCATACACATGGCACCTACCCTAAATTCCTGTTCTCCAAGACTCCTATCTCCAGGGGGCTACGGTCCTTAGAAATTATGGTTATCCACCTATCCTCTCCAACAAAGAAAATTTTTCTACAATATCACTGGAAGATGGCAATTCAGCTTCTTCTAGCACTCACGTTTGTCTCAGCATAGATGTTGACCATGTGGCAGACAGACCCAGGGTGTTCGCACCTCACCTCTGAGTACGTGTCAAGCACTTGAGAGAGATATTAACTCATTCGATTCTTATAACATCCCTATAAGTAGGGAAGGAGGATTACCTCTATTTTACCGATGAAGAAACTGAAGCGTAGAAGAGCTGGGTCACTTTCCCAAGGTCACATTTGCCCATTCAGCCCAACTCCTAAGCCCACACTCGTAGCTGTGCTCCAGCTGCCTCCCTTAAATGAAGGACCTCACAGGCAAATAAACAAGGAGCCAGACATTCAACTGAAGTCACAATACAGGTTAGGTGTTATAGTATTGGAATGGACACAGTGCTACTACTTCTAAGAAAAGAAACTTCTGTGAAGTAGCAATTTTACTGAGTGGGGGGGGGAATCTAAATATGTTCCTTATATTGAGTAGAAACAGACCTTTTTATAATATTCATCTGTTGATCCTTCTATACCCTCTAGACTTACAAAACAGAAAATTACTCTTCTTCTATAATTGTTTAAATATTCCAAAACATTGTCATGCCATCTCATCTAGGCAAAATGTCCTTATTCCTTAAACCAATCTTAAAAGTAAATGACTTTGAGACTTTTCACCACTAGGAGGTTCCATTTGTGAGTTTGTAAATATTGTTTCTTTGATTTCTTTCCTGTTACTGTAAAAAACAACTTATTTTACTCCAAATAAATGTGAGGTAGCATGGGATTCTAATGCATGTGGTCAAATAATTTAAAATCATCCTTATTGCCATGTTATACGCTATCTGGTCAAATAATTAAGTCATCCTCCTTGCCAGGTGATGATATCCAGAAGTTTTCCAAAAATATGAGCTAAGGACTACATATCCTGCCAATACAATTATTTTCATCTATCAGAAAATGTCAGGGGAAAAAGTATGATGAAGCTCACAAATCTTTTGTTTTTACTTTTATAATTGCCATAATGAATTAAAGCTACAGTACTCCTAGTGCATGGTAAGTGCCAACAGACGCTTATGTCAACAAAATTCAAGGAGTGCCTTACTACGTTCCAAACAATGAATATCTCAGACAAACAGGATCTTATTTATGAGCAGGCTGCCTAACTAAAACATAGTTGCCTCCCAACAGCCTTGTTTTTAAGCAGCCATCAGGCTGCTTATCACATTGCCAAAGGGGAAGAAAACACATTCACTATTGGAGAGACCTGGAAGAGGCCACCTTCCCTAGTTAACCTGTTTTGCAGATTAGTGCAGAGGGAGAAAGTGAAGTAGCCCTTCTGTGGAATAGTGCCATCCACTCCAGAACCACCTACATGTTTTCCAATATCTTGAGGGGCCATTGAAACTGAAATTGGTGGCAATATTATTTCCTTTTAGTTTGCAACTAGATGAATGACTGACTGCCTTCTAATGCAGCCAACTCCTGGCTTTCATTTGCTATGTGTGTGCTGACATCATTAAAGAATTCCCATTTTGAAAGCATCTTTTGGAAATTGCAAAGGCTACAAATGGTGAAAACTCTTCTGGCTAAAAAAGATAAAGAAGAGTACTTCCTGCTCAGACGGAGCCCCTAAAATGGATGTTTGGCAACACATCCGGATTTGCTGCTTAGATGAATAGACTAAGCTTCATGCTTAAGTCTTTCATTTCTGCATCAAAATGCAATGGCTTCAAGTGCTCTATTAGCAATCTTCACAGAAGTCTTGTATACTGCTATGAATCTTATCAATTTCATCAGAGCCGGGGCCTTTTCAAAATACTTTGTCAAGAAATGTGAGTAAAAGAGGATATGAAGTTCCCTGGTTTTCCAGTGAGCAGTCTTGCAGCTCTTGGCTGAACTTGAGGTAGAGGTTCTACTTATTTTGAGGTAGAGGGAAAGTAAATTCTAAGAATAAATGATGAGAAGGATTAATTCCTGACTTAGCTTGAGTCATCTGTGACCATACGAATGAGATAAATCTTTCAATTCTAGGCCCTACAGACATCGTTTTGGATTCTGCTGAAAATTTGTGTGTTCTTTTAGCCAAGTAGCCGTTTCAGAAGAGAGAACTGTATCAACACAGCTATGTAAACTTTCCCAAAGCTGGAGAAAGACTTCCCTAGGTTGGAGGACACTACAGATATCTTATGAAGGTTACTTCTGTTCAAACTAAGATGTGGATTTATAATTCTATTCTACCTGACATAGACAGCACAATGTTGACAAACCTTGTTGACAATGATCTCACTGGCTGGATGATAAAGAAAATAATGTAAAATGAACTGAACGGGTGTCATGGGGAAATGTCTAGTTCCTTAGAGTAGATCCTGCCTCAATCTGCTTTTCCAAATGTGGTACTTTTATTCTATTTGCCACAATTATCAGTATGAATCAGGCTTTTTTACCACTTGCTGTCATAATAAAGAAAAGTTAAAACTGACAGTTTTAAAACAAGATGACGTTCATGCTGCTACGCAAAAAACCACTGCACAATTTCAACTACTTTTTCAAGCTAAACAAAAGCAGCCTTCTTGCTGAAATTTCTTGTGAGCATAATTAAATTGATCTTTTCACTTTATTTATGAAATCTGAATTCATTAAAAATTTTTAGGAAGTAACCTTTAATCTTTGTATTAAAGTGATTAATGAGATCAATTGGTTAAAAAATATTTTTATAGTCTGTCTGTAAAAGCAATTAATTTACAAGGCCAAATGATTAAATGAATATAAAATCTGTATATGTTGACAAGCATCATGCTGGGGGGAAAAGTTAAGAATTATTATTGTTCTAGAAGGCATCTGGTTTATTTCCTTCATCATAGTGCTCACCT